GGTCAGACGAAGCGAGGAGAAGAGCAGCTGCCAGCCCTCTGCAGATCTACTTCCCAGGCTGGTTTTGGCTTCCGGGGAAAAGAGTGATTACTGTAAAATGTTCAAATTGTTTGAATGGAAACTTTCCAGTGTGTTGGAAATAGGTAAAGACGGAAACAACAATGACACCACTTCGAAACGTAACTTCTCACTCCCCGAAAAGCCAGATAAACCTTCATGACCTGGTAGTGAATGACAGTCATTTTCAAATCGCTCTGCCGAAATTCAGACGTTTGTGTTTGGGGGAATTTCAGTCTTTCCTTTTCCATCACTCTTGAAGAGCGGGGGAGTCCTCCTTCAGCACCGCCGGTCCTGCCGTCCATGCTACCGCCGGAATGCCGTCTCCATTTTCCGCAGGTTTCCCGGCGGGGTAGCGGGGTCTCCCTGCGGCCGGGGTTCGTTTTCCCCGCTCCCTCTCTGCCCCTTCGGCCGCCCTGTGCAGAGCAGAGGGACGAGGGACTGCCGGTTGCTTCACCGCCACTGCCACCCGCTGCCACCCGCCCTGCGCGCCCCGGCTGGGGCCGGTGGTTCTGCAGCTACTGCCAAGTCATTAATGCTTTTTGAAAATATTTTTTTTCAATTATTGTTTCTCTGTACCAGCCTCTTATCTTTTCTCGCAGATACTCGAGCCAGTGAAAGCAGGCAGTTGCGGCAGCCCGGAGATCTCGCCTTTCTCCCTCTTTTCTCTAAACACTGCCGCTGACATGCTGGCAGTGTTGGTGATTCAGCTCCAGTTGCTGCTGCTGGTCAGTATTTACCATCAGACAGACGTTTATTTCCCAGGTTCAGCTTATTGTTTTTCTTTCCGGGAAGAAAATGTAAAAAAGCCCCAAACCAACCAACCAAAAACCAAAAACCCCCAAAAACCAAAACCAAACCAAAACAAAAAAAGTGTCTTCGGCCATTTTCTGCAAACTTGACACCCCGAGCTGCGGGTTTGTCCGTGCTCGGACTTTCCTGGAGGAGATGAAGCATTGCTGGTCTTTCCCTGCGCACAGTTACTGCGAACACCACAGCCGGGCAGAAAAGCAACTTGTGGGTCCCATCGGCAGAGATCCCGGCTCCTTTTCCCGCGCTTGTCTCTGTGATAGTGGCCATGAGCTGTCCTAGGGCACGATTAACCCTTTCTGTGGCCCTGGGGCTGTCACCGAGGGCTGCACTCGCCGAGTCCCTCCGTTTCGTGCCTCCTGGTTGATGCACGGGGGACGAACCTCTCCCTAAGACACTCCGTGGACGCATGGGATGGGTACGCACAGGAGGAGCTGTGGCAGTGCCAGGACAATGCTGGCACTATGCTGGGACAGTCCACGACTCTGCTGGGAAAGCCTGTGACAGCGCTGGGACAGTCTGTGACTGTGTTCGGGCAGTGCTGGCACAGTTGGGGTGATGCTAGGACAGTCGGGTAGTGTCTTGGAACAGTTAGGATAGTTCTGGGACATCCTGGGACGGTGCTGGGACAAAGCTGGGGCAGGCTGAACTGCTCTGTCACTGTCTTGGGACAGTTACTGGAAGATCTGAGACAGTGCTGGAAATGTCTTAGGACAGTTAGGATGGCGGTGGGACTGTCCTGGCACAGATTAGGACAGGGCTAGAATAGTGCTGAAACAGTTAGGACAGTGCTGGTACCTCCTGGCCCGGTGCCGGGACGGTACCGGGACAGCTGGAGCAGTGTGGGACTGGCTGGGAGGAGGCAGCGCCGGGAGGCGCCGGGTCGGAATGAGGCCGAGCCGGGAAGGGTTGGCGGGGAGGGGGGAGCTGCCTGTGACATCGCCGCCGCACCTGGGCCGGGTCGCGGAGGGGCTGAACCTCAGCTTCCGTTTCTTCCGCTCCCAGCGGAGAGCGCACCGGGACACTCGCAGCCCCAGCCCCGGCCCGGCCTGGCCTCTCTGCGGCCGCTGCGAAGGGTCCGTGCGGGGAAGGGCTGATCTGCAGAGCCGGCCCCGGGCTCTCCGCGCAGCTCGCCCAGGGCTCCTTACAGCTGCCGCCGCCTCTCCACTGGCTCTCAGGTAACACGGGGCTGCCGGGTTGCGGCGTTCAAGGAGTGCTCGCATCCCGCATCTCTTCTATGTAAAAATTGATAGGCAGCCAAGAGCTCGAAAAGGCGGCTGATAACATCAACCCCTTCTACCTTCTGTACAGCTGCACCCAATACACCTTGTGGTTTCCTCCCTCGTTCGGTTTTTCTCCCCCCCCCCTCCCCTTGGAGACCCCTGGCCGCCGCCCGCACCGCCTCGCCACCGCCGCAGGGCCGCCCACACGGGTCACCCGGAGCGGCACCCCCGGCGATCCCCGCTCCAACTCGGTGGGGCTACTCCACCGATACTCATCTATTGAAATTGCAAATGATTTGCACTCTTAAGTGCCAGTGGCTCTGGAAAAAACATCTTCAGTACTTTTGTTTAGAGATATAGAATGCAGTTCTTTCTTGGCCATGTGCATTTAGCCACTTGGATTACATTATAGATGTGTGCTTTGTACAATCCCACAGGACAACTTTAATCGATGGTGAGATTTTATTTGACTTGGCAGTGTAACACTGGGGATTTGACTCATCAAGATGTAAATTAAGAGTAAACAGAGAAAAAGTGTTTCTCTGCATACATCTGAACGTGTATTTCCTCCTTTTAATAGATTAATTAATACTACTTCTCAGTCAAAAATTGGTAAGTGCTCTTGAGGGAATTGAAGGAAGAGTAACCATCATGATTAGTGTATTAAATGGCTAATGTATGGAAAAATTTTCAACATCTATAAGGTACATCTGCATAGATAGAACTGAAAGTAGTTTGGGTAATGAAATGTGTGTGCTTGCGGCTGGGCAGATTTGCAATGTGCAACTGTAATAGTACTGCTCCTGCTGAAGTGCTCACTCATACTAGCAATGCTCAGCACTTCAGGAGATGCTAGCTTCTGGCCTAAAATTCAAACCAGTTTTGAATTGTTGCTTCAAGATACGCAACCTTGAGAGAGAAATGAGATTCCAGAAGCTTCACATACCTGGCCTGTTGTATTACCTAACTCTACATGGTTTAGTGTTAGCACACGTATAGTACATATAGTTTGCAACTATGTGTTTGCCACTCTTCTGAGAGTCCAGATTTTCTCATGTATGTCACAGCAAACTGAAGCCCTTGATTTGGAACTTTGTTTACTACCTTAAAGTCTAGATTCCTGAAGTCTGGACATGATGGTATGTAGCTAAAGGTGAAAATTATAAAATGTTATATGAAAAGGAAATCTTGTCGGTGTAAAATGATATTCAGAAAGTATTTGCTAATCAAAAGCTAGTTACATTATTTTAGTAAATACAGCTTGGGTTTTTTTTTTTTTTTTTTACAGTTCAGAAAGAGCCACAGAGTGGCTCAGCTATGTGTGACACTACAAAAACCATAGGTTTAAACTGTCAACACATGTTTTTATAGGCCCATACTTTTCGCATGTAACACACATATTTCTAGTACACATTGGCTATATCTGATACAGATTTCAGAAAACAGACCCACAACACCTAGTTCACTGCCAGAAGTATGTTTAGGTCAGAAACTCTGCAAAGTTTTTCACATGAAGCTCTTCTCCACTTGAGACCATCTTGAATTATTTGGGGCTTGGGTAGCTCAGATGGGACCGTAGGCCTGGATCCCCAAATATCACAGAATATGCTGCATTGGAAGGGACTCACAAGGATCATCGAGTCCAACTCCTGGCTCTGCACTGGATCATTCTCAAGAGTCACACCATGGGTCTGAGAATATCATCCAAATGCTTCTTGAACTCTGGCAGGCTTGGTGCTGGAACCACTTTCCTGGGGAGCCTGTTCCATGTGCCCAACCACCCTCTGGGTGAAGAACCTTTGCTAATATCTAACCTTAATCTCCCCTGACACAACTTCAAGCAATTCCCTTGGATTCTGTCACTGGTCACTGTTAGTGTCTACCCCTCCTCTTCCCCTCACGAGTAAGTTGTGGACTGCGATGAGGTCTCCTCTCAGTCTCCTCTTCTCCAGGCTGAACAGACCAAGTGACCTCAGCTGCTCCTCATATGGCTTCCCCTCAAAGTCCTTCACCATCCTCGTGGCTCTCCTTTGGACACTCTTTAACAGCTTAATATCTTTCTTACCTTGTGGTGCCCAAAGTTGCCACAATATTCAAGGTGAGGCTGCCCCAGTGCAGAGCAGAGTGGGACAATCCCCTCCCTTGACTGGCTGGCAATGCTGTGCCTGATGCCCCCCAAGACACGGTTGGTCCTCCTGGCTGCCAGGGCACTGCTGACTCAGATTCAGCTTGCCATCGACCAGGACTCCAAGGTCTTTTTTTCCGTGGCACTGCCTTCCAGCACCTCATTCCCCAGCCTGTACGTACATCCAGGATTGCCCCATCTCAGGTGCAGGATCCGGCACTTCCTTTGTTGCAATTCATATGATTGGTGACTCCCCAGCCCTCTAATTTGGCAAGGTCTCTCTGTAGGGCCTCCCTGCCTTCAAGGGAGCTAACAACTCCTCCCAGTTTTGTGTCATCTGCAAACTTGCTTAGTATCCCTTCCAGTCCTGTGTCCAAGCCATTTATGAAGATGTTGAACAGCACAGGGCCCAAGATGAAGCCCTGTGGAACCCCACTAGTGACTGGTCGCCAGTCTGATGTCAGCCCATTCACTATTACCTTTTGTGCTCCACCCATGAGCCAATTGCTCACCCACCACATGATGTGTTTATCCAGCTGTGTGCTGGACATTTTGTCCAGAAGCATCCTGTGAGAGGCAGTATTGAAAGCTTTACTGAAATCCAAAAAGACTACATCCCCTGGCTTCCTCTGATCACCTAGGTGAGTTACATTGTCATAAAAGGAAATTAGGTTTGATAAGCAGGACTTTCTTGTCATGAAGCCATGCTGGCTGTGACCAATGACTGTGTTACCTTTCAGATGTTTTTCAATACCTCTCAGAATAATCTTCTCCATAACTTTACCAGGCACTGAAGTGAGATTGACAGGCCTGTAGTTTCTGGGGTCCATCTTTTTGCCCTTCTTGAAAATTGGGACAATGTTCACTGACTTCCAGTCTGCTGGGGCCTTTCTGGCTTCCCAAGACCGCTCAAAAAATCATCGAGAGAGGTTTTGTGATGTCATCAGCCAGCTTTTTGAGGATTCTGGAATTAATCCCATCAGGCCCTGTAGATTTGTAGGGATCCAGTTGGAGCAGCATCTGCACAATTTCAAGGTTGACTGGGAGTTGGTCATTCTCACGGTCACAGTCCTCCATCTCATGGCACTGAAATGCCCTTGGTTCATCATCTGTGTTTTAGACAGAGGCAAAGAAAGCATTAAACACCTCTCCCTTGTCTCTGTCCCTGTTTGTGAGGTGACCATTCCCATCCTGTAACAGGCCAATGATATTTTTATACGGCCTATTGCCATTAATGTATTTGTAAAACTCTTTTTATTGTCCCCCACGTTTCCAGCCAGATTCAGGTCCAGTTGAGCTTTGGCTGCATAAGTTTTCTCCCTACCTGGCAAGCAGCATCTCTATATTCTTCCCATGTCACTTGGCCTTGCTTCCACTGGCATACACCTTCCTTTTTTGCCTTATTTCCAAGAGAAAATCCCTGCTCAGCCAAGTTGGCTTTCTGGCTCACCTATTTGACTTCCAACATTGGGAATTGCCTGCTTCTGTGCCCTTAGGAGGTGATGTTTGAAGAGTGACTGGCACTGATGGACCCCAGCACCTGCAAAAACATTTTCTCAGGGGATCTTACTTACTAAATCTGAGCAGCCTGAAGCCTGCTCTCCTCATGTCCAGAGTTTAGGTTTTGCTGTCACTTTTCTTCCTGTCAACAGGGATTTTAAACTTAATCACTTTGTGTTCACTGTGACCAAGATGGCCCCCAATCTCCACTTCTCTCATGAGATCCACTCTGTTGACAAGCAGCAGATCAAGGAGAGCATCATTCTGAGTTGGATCCCTGAGGACCAGATTCACCCAGATTTTTTAAGAATCTTCTGGCCTGAGTTGTACTAGCTGCGTGATGCTCCCAGTTGATTTCTGGCAAGTGTAAGTCCCCCACAGGGACAAGGGCAGTTGACTTGGAAGTGTCCCTTAGTTCCTCAAAGAATAATTTGTTGGCATCATCGTCCTGACAGGGAAGTCTATGGCAGACTCCCACAATGACATCCACATTATTAGTTTACTCCTTGATTCTTACTCGGAGGCTCTCAACTGTGCCATTGCCAACCGTGAGCTCCATACGTTCTAACCCTTCCATTACATACAGTGCCACCCCTTCACCTCTTCTGCCCTGCCTATCCCTCCTGAAGTGCCTGTAACCATCCAACAGGGCACTCCAGTCACAGAACTCATCCCACCAGGTTTCGCTTATGCCAGTGGTATCAAATCTCTGGGACTGGACCAAAGCTTCAGGCTCTTCTTGTTTGTTCATCATGCTGCATACATTGGTGTAGAAACATTTCAGGCGTGGTACATTGTAGCCAACACCTCGTGAAGCAGATTGAGGGATCCCATTAGTGCTTGCTTCCTCAAGTTTTGGCACACCATCCCATCGCTCACCACTGGCAAACCTAGTTTTGTCCCCTACCCCCTTCCAAGCCAGTTTAAAGCTCTGTCAACAAGAGCCACCAGCTCCTGCACTAGAACTCTTTTTCCCCTTTGATGTGAGTATATCCTGTCACATGTCAGTAGACCAGCTGTTAAGTAGATCATCCTGTGGTCAAAAACACTCCAGATTTTCCGATTACACCAACCTTGAAGTGACTCACTGACCTGATGGATCTGCCTATTCTTATCAATATTCGTCATTACTGGAAGAATTGAGGAAATTCTTCACTACCTGTGCTCCTGATCCTTCTATCAATCGACTCAGGCCCTGAAGTCTCTTTTGATTGCCCTTGGACTTCTCTTTGTTATTTCATCTCTGCCAGTTGGAACAATCAATAGTGGATAGTAATCAGAGTGCATTATTAGACTGGAGAGTTTTCCAGCAATGTCCCTTACCCGATCCCCTATGAGATAGCAGACTTCCCTGTGAGTTGGGTCCATTCCCTTTAGAAAGGAGTCTCCTATTTCAACTACTCTTCTTTTCCTGTTGTAGTGGGTTGATCCTGGCTGGATACCAGGTACCCAATAAAGCTGCTCTCTCACTCTCCCTCTGCAACTGGACAGAGGAGAGAGAAAAAAAAACCAGCTAAGGATTCATGAGTTGAGATAACAGCTGGGAGATATCACTTAATGATTACCTTCACAGGCAAAACAGATTCAAAGTGGGGATAGTACTTAAATTTGTTACTGACGGTATAAGAGCCAAAGAGTGAGAAATAAAAAAGTCTTAAAAACACCTCCCCCCCCTTCCATGTTCTCCCTCCTTCTCCCCAGCGGTGCAGGGGGATGGGGACTGGAGGTTATGGACAGTTGTTGTTTCTGCTGCTGCTCAGAGAGAGGAGTCCTTCCCCTGCTCCCATGGGCACCCTCCCACAGGAGACAGTTCTTGATGGACCTCTCCAGCGTGAGTCCATTCCTCAGGCAGCAGTTTTTCCCAAACTGCTGTCCTGTGGGTCACTTCTTCATGGGGTGCAGTCCTTCACGAATGAACTGTACTGATGTGGTTCCCACACAGGGGCCACAAGTCCCACCTGGGAAAAACCTGCTCCAGCGTGGGCTTCCCTCTCCATGGGCTGCAGGTCTCCAGCAGGACCCCGCTCCACCCTGGGCCTCCCACGGGGTCATAGCCTCCTTCATGCATCCATCTGCTCCAGCATGGGCTCCTCCATGGGCTGCAGGTGGGACTCTGCACCCTGATGGTCCTCCACGGGCTGCAGGGGCCTCAGCTCCACCGCCTGAAGCACCTCGTCTCCCTCCTGCACTGACCTTGTTGTCTACCTTCATGTTCTCACTTCGCTCTTCCCTGGCTGGAATTCTTCTGCGCAACAACCTTCTGTTCCTAAATATGTTATCCCAGAGGTGTTACTGTCATTCCTAATTGGCTCGTCCTTGGCCAGCAGCAGGAAGTCCGTCCTGGAGCCGGCTGGCATTGGCTCCACCAGACAGGGGAAACTTCTAGCAGCTTCTAACAGAAGCCACCCCTGTAGCCCCCAAAACCCAGCCACAGAAACCCACTACACCTGTTAACAGAAGAGGTCTTGATGCAGGGTACAGGTGGTGTTGTTCTGGGAGGCCCCACTACCTCAGAAGAACCGTCACCAACCTTCTCAGTTGTCTGGTCTTCTAGTTCCAGAGCCTCATACCTGTTGTAGAAGGTGACAGTCCTACCTGTCAAATTCTGAGAAGGAACCTTCCTCCTGGTACATGCAGTGACCAGCTTCCAGCCTTCATCTTTAACAGACCCTTGACTAATAGTCCTTTGACTAATTACCCTCCAGGGTTCTGAGACCACCTGCTTCTCCACTGCAATGGAGCTTCGAGACTCCCAAGAGTCTTGAGACTGTAGTGTCTCTGAAAATAATTGATCTCTTGGATCCTTGAGCATTTGACTCCTGTTTAAGTATTTCTTGTTGGGTAGTAGGAGGTGGGTGTCTGCGTAGCTTTAGATTCTGAGCCTCATTTTTTTCTTAGGCGTTATGTCAAAGATCTTCCATTGCACCTGTAAATGTATATTTGCTAGAAAGTAACCCTGGACAAGAATATCCTGCTTCTGATGAACAGATTTCAGCTATACTGATCTAGTGTCCTGCACTGCACTGTTAGAGAACTGAGCTCCATTTTGTAATTGGCAGGAGGTGAGAGTATTGCAACAGTGAATGTGTTTGATCTCAAGAACAGGAGAGAAACATAAGTCTATTAAAAAGTAGCCTCTAAGATTAAGTCCATACAGCTTCATTTGGAAGGAAAAAGAAGAAATCTCAGAAACAGTGGAAGAAAATATGTGGGAGAAGTGAAAATAAGAGTGGTGGGAGAGCACAGCAACGATGAGAAGAGTGAAGCATGTCTGAGATATCCAGGGTCATATATAAATCAATATATAACTAGGCAACTTACATAATGCTCTTAAAACTCATAAATATGACAATGGAAAGAATCGTAGTTGAGGAATGTTATCCTGAGTGTGGATAGGTGGAAATTTTTTGCTGGTCTTTAATAGAAACTAGTTTCAACTGCAGTAAAAGTATTCACTAATACAGTGCCACTCAGAAGGATGTATCTGAGAGCTGTTACTATGTCTTTGTAATAATAATTTCAAGGAAGAAATGGCTTTTCATTGTGGTAAGTAAAATAGTTATTTTCATTACATTTATTATTTTATTTCTGAATTTGGATGGCTACTGCAGGAGCAGGTATGGTATGTAACATATGGCTGACTGATTGGCCTATCTCCACATCCCAGCTGCTTGCCCATCTCATACCAAGTTTGAGTGAAGAAATGGGCCTTGTGTAGTCTCCCAAAGCTCAGCAGATTGTGGGTCAGTAAAGGGCTTCCTATCAGGCAGGAAGCAATCTGCACAGGATAACAATGAGTACCTTCCCAGAAACTCTCACCGAGCAACTGTAATTCATAGAACTCTGCCTGAATGTGTTTTATCATGCAGAAGGCAATTACATGGAGATAGTTTAAAATATATGGGTTATAGAGATCACATGGGTATGCAAGGTAATTGTATTGGCTGATTGAAGAAATAAGAAAAGGCTAATTAGCAGAATTTGGTTTTTTTAACACTAGCCCTGAATGTTCTCCTGCCAGGGTCATTGCCCTCAAAGAGCTTTCTAGAATACATACGTATACTTCCCACCTTACTACAAAAGTTGTCTACTTGGAAAGTTTGTGATTGTCTGTACTATTTCCTTTTGGAGCCCTAGATGTCTGAGGAAGGAAAATAAGCATGTCATATGAAAACCCCCTGAAGTTTGTGCTTGATATTTTAACTTCCATTTGCAAGGCAGCTGCTGCATCTGCACGTGTGGGAATCTGGTGAGCCATACAATCTTAGGCTGAGGATTTCTATTCACTAGGGATTAGCTGAACTGTTTTCCTAAATCAGTCACCAGATCTGGATTCCAAATTAACAAAGTGGTGCTGAGCAATAATGTAGACTCTAGGTAGCAGCTGTGCAAATTTATTCAATGAAAGCATTATAAAAGCAGGCTGTCTAACTGCCTCAGCTTTAGTGCAGTGAACTCTGAGAAGAAGCGAACTTACTGAATTTATAACAAGTAAAAAGCTCAGGTTCATTCAGCTCCAAGGATGCTGAATGAGAAATGCTGGTCTTTGCACAATTACTCTAAACACAACTACTCACAACAAAAAGTTTAGAAGATGCAGAATGATTGTATCCTAGAAAACAATGGTAGAAGAGACCTCAGAGATCATTGAACCCGTCTCTGTTCAGCAGGTCCTGATGACCTGCTATCCCTCTGTCTTTTCCATGTCTAGCCTGTTCCTAAAGACATCCAGGGATTGGGATTTCACACACCCCTCATGCAATCTGTTGACAGTATTTTCTTGGCGTGTCTTCTAGTCATCTGTAGACTAAACCATGCCAGTCCTTTTGCTTTTTCTTCATAGGTGTAATTTTTTTTGACCTCTGACAATTCTTCTTTCTCTTTTCTGAACTCTGTCCAATTTCTCTTTTGCCATATCTCAGATTAGACTCAGTATTCCAGCTGTGACCTTGCCACAACTTAAGTCTCCTAAAGGCTGTCTTACTCTTAATGTATCCCATTGTGGCATTTCCTTTTTTTGATTATAATTTTTTTTTATTGCAGCAGCACAGTTGATTATATTCTGGCTGTGCTCCCCTAGCTCCTTTCTATGAGGCTGCTGTCCTACCCCTTCTTGCCTAGCCTGTATTTGTGCTGTCTTAAAGGGCAGGACTTTGCATATGTCCTTACAGACTATTTCTCCAACTTGTCAAGATAATCTGAATTTCAGTTCTATTTTCCAGTCAGCTAGCAGTCTCTGTGAGATTATCTGCAGTAATGAATAAACTTATTTTATCTTCCCTCATTCAGGTTGTTAATGGAAATATTGAGAAGCTCCAAATTTCTCACAATTCCTGAGGAATCCCACTCTATACATCCTTCCATTTCAATAACTAACCATTGATAAATGCTTCTAGTGAATGACTTCCCAGCCAATTTGCACTTTTCCTATGCTAGCTTCCTGTAGACTGTGTTTCTCTGTCTTAGGTTGAAGAAGAGTACATGTCAATGTAATACACAGGCAAGATATGACACCTCCT